AAGAAGATATAACAATTATAAATATATATGCAACCAGTATCAGAGCAATGAAATATATTAAGCAAAACTAACAGAGAGATAGACAATAATACAATAATAGTAGGGGAATTCAATACTTCTTTTCCAACAATGGATAGATTGAAAAACAGACAGAAAAACAACAAGGAGATGTTGGACTTGAACAAAACTTTAGACCAAAAGAACCTAACAGACATATATAGAACATTCCATCCAACAGCAGGAGAATATACATTCTTCTCAAGTGCACATGGAACATTCTTCAGCTTAGATCATATAAAAGGTCACCAAACAAGTCTTAGGAAATTTAAGATGACTGAAACAGAATTGAGAGCCAAGAAATAAACCTTGCCCATACAGTCAACTAATATTTGACAAGGGAGTTGAGAATACTAAATGAGGGAAAGGATAGTGTCTTCAATATATGGTGTTGGGAAAACTGGATAACCACAGGGAGTAAAATGAAATTGGACTCCTATCTTAGACCACTCACAAAAATTAACTCAAAATGGGCTAAAGACTTAAACATAGAAACAAAACCCATAAAAGGGAGAAAACATAGGGAAAACATAGGGAAAAAGTTCCCTGATGTTGGTCTTGGCAACAATTTTTCAGCTATGACACTGAAAGCAACAAAAGCAAAATTAACAAGTGAGACTATGTCAAACTAAAAAGGTTTTGCATAGCAAAAACACCATCAACAAAATGAAAAGGCAACCATCAGAATGGGAGAAGACATTTGCAAATCATATATCTGATAGGTGATTAATATTCAAAATATATGAAGAACTCATACAACTCAAGAGTAATAAAATAACCCAATTAAAAATGGGCAGAGGTTCTGAATAGACATTTTTTTCAAAGAAGACACACAAATGGTCAACAAGTACATGAAAACGTGTTTGACATCACTAATAGTCAGGGAAATGCATATCAATACTACAATGAGATGTCACAGTTAAAATGGCTGTTATCAAAAAGACAAGACATAAGTGTTGGTGAAGATGTGGAGAAAAGGGAAACCTGTGCACTCTTGATGGGAATGTAAATTTGTTCAGCAACTATGGAAAACATGTATGGAGATTTGTCAATAAATAAAAAAATAGAACTACCATATCATCCAGCAATCCCACTTCTGGGTATATATCGAAAAGAAATGAAAACGGTATCTTGAGTTTCTGTATAACACTGGAATAATAATGAACTGTATCATGTTCATCCAGCATTATTCACACTAGTCAAGATATGGAAACAACCTAAGTTTCTGTCAATGGGTGAATGGATAAAGAAGATGTGGTACAAATACACAATGGAATATTATTCAGTCATGAGAAAGAAGGAACTCCTACAATTTGGGACAATCTGGATTAAACCTAGAAGGTGTGATGCTCAGTGAAATAATTCAGATAGAGAAAGACAAACACTGTATGATCTCACTTTATTTGGAATCTAAAAACACAGAACTCATAGAAACAGAGTAGAGTGGTGGCTACCAGGGGCTGGGGATTTATGGAAATGGGGAGATGTTGGTCAAAGAGTACAGACTTCTAGTTATAGGATGAACCAGTTCTGGGGATCTAATGTACAGCATGATGATTATAGTTAATAATAGCATATTATATACCTGAAAGTTGCTAAGAGAGTAGATCTTAAGTGTTCTTACCACAAAAAATATAGTAATAATTGTATGAGGTGATTTAGATATTAGCTCACTATAGTGGTGGTAGTTATGTTGCAACATATAAGTGTATCAAATCAACAAGTTGTACTCCTTAAACTTACATGTTATATGTCAATCATATCTCAATAAAACTAAAAAAAATATGATGTGTCTTTGGGTAAGTCCTTTGTCTTCTCTGAATCTCAGTTTCTTCATCTAGAAAATTTAAAGTGTTATTTTTATTATTATTATGGACATTTACATAGCACTTTCCAGGCACAGTTTCTACTCACTTTATATATATTAATCCACCTAATCCTTAAAATAACACTTTGGGGGTAGATACTATTATTATTCTCATTTTATAGAAGAACTGAGGCATACACAGAGGTTATATATAAATCATCTTAGGATATAGCTTGTGAATAGCAGAACTGGGATTGAACCCTGAGAGTCTAGTGATAACAATTCCTACTCTGCTCACCTTATGAAGCTCTTTCCTTTTTTCACCATTCATCCTTCACTTACTCTTACCCACCTCAGAGGGATGTTGTGATATTAAGTGTGTTATTTTATGTAAAGCACTCCAACTGTGCATGGCGTGTACTAGCTGCTCTGGAAGGGTCTGCTTTTATCATTCGGGTTGTTGCTGGGGTGAACCCAGTGCCTGCCCTGTGGCTAGCCGAGCCAGGGTGGCCCCTGAGGAGGCCAGTTCCCATCTTGAGAGTACAACACAGTCCCTGGGGCAATAAGCAAGGCCAAGACCTAGGCCCTGAGGAGGGTCCAGGCAGAAGTGGTCAGTGTGCTGTGGACCTAGGGAGGAATATCATTGAGTCATCAGGAATCAAATGAAGCCTTCTCAGAGTAGGTAGATGATATGTCAGATAAAAACAATACCAGCAAACCCTTACCTGGAGCTCAGTATGTGCCAGGCCCCTTGGGTGCTTTATACATGTTAATACATTTATTCCTCACAGACGGTATCATCACCATCTCCATTTTAGGTGAAGAAACTGAGGCATAGAGGGGTTAGGCAACTTGCCTAGGTCACAGAGCCCATGCAAGCACACAGAGAAATTTCATTGGTTCATACACCCACCACCATCACAACTCTGCCAAATCTGTGCACTGCTTGTATTAATATTTACTTAATATTTAAATTAACTCACTTTTTTTTTTTTTTTTTTTTTTTATGTGGGATCTTCCCAGACCAGGGCTCAAACCCATGTGCCCTGCATTGGCAGGCTGATTCTTAACCACTGAGCCACTAGGGAAGCCCTGTGTGTTTACTTTTGCTTTGTTTGGTTTGTTCATTTATTTTTATTTTTTAATATTCCACATATGAATGAAATCATACAGTATTTGTCTTTCTCAATCTGACTTATTTCACTTAGCGTAATATCCTTATGGTTCATCCATGTTGTTGTAAATGGCAAGATTCCATCTTTTTTTATGGCTGAGTACTATTCCCCTGTGTACCACATCTTCTTTATCCATTCATCCATCAGTAGCCACTTATGATGTTTCCATATCTTAGCTATTGTAAATAATGCTGTGATAAGCATACAGGTGCATGATTCTTTTCTAATTATTGATTTTGTATTCTTCTGATAAATATCCAGAAGTAGAATAGCTGGATCATATGGTAGTTCTATTTTAATTTTTTGAGAAATCTCCACATTGTTTATCATAGTGACTGCACTTATTTACATTCCCACCAACAGTGTATGAGAATCCCGTTTCTTCCACATCCTCTCCAACACTTGTTATTTTTTGTCTTTTTGGTAATAGCCATTCTGACAAACAGGAGATGATATCTTATTGTGCTTTTGATGTGCATCCCTCTAATAATTAGTAATGTTGAAGGTCTTTTCATGTGCCTGTTGGCAATCTGTATGTCTGCTTTGGAAATATGTCTATTCAGGTCCTCTGCCCATTTTATTTATTTATTTATTTATTTATTTATATATTTTGCGGTACGCGGGCCTCTCATTGTTGTGGCCTCTCCAGTTGCGGAGCACAGGCTCCGGACGCTCAGGCTCAGAGGCCATGGCTCACGGGCCCAGGCGCTCCACGGCATATGGGATCTTCCCGGGCCGGGGCACGAACCCTCATCCCCTGCATTGGCAGGCGGACTCTCAACGACTGCGCCACCAGGGAAGCCCAAATTAACTCACTTTTGACTAAATAAATGTAAAAAAACTTTATCTCATTACAGTCTTTGGAAAATCAGTATGGTTAGAAAATGTATACCACGAAAATAAACTATTATTAAATCCTCTCTAGATCCAACTACCTAACGGCTTTGAATTTAAGACCTGTTAAAAGAGATATTTAGTAAGTCTTGAGAAGAATTAACGATATACTAACACCAAACTGGGACTTTCTCATTGGTGTAATCAGAAGAATTTAAAGAGAAGTAAAAAGGAAATAACATTCTCACCATGTGATAGAAACTGATTTAGGGAAGTATCTCTGCATCCCCTGAAATCTCACTTAGGGAAACTGTGACAATAGGTAAGAGCACAGACTAAGAAGACAGATTTCCCCACTTCAGAGCTTACTGGGTTATCCTGTCCTGGGCACATAATTCCTCTAAACCTCTGTTTCCTCACTGGTAAAATAGTAGCTATAGGGATCTTGATTATAAATGAAAGAATGAAGGTAAAGCACAAAATCTTATACATAGTAAACGCTTAATAAACATAAGCCACCATCATCATCGTCATTATTAAGCTTTGCACATAAGTCTCTGGACTTTTAAAAATGCTTTTAAGGTTTTAGTTAGATAACGATAATAATAATTATAGTAAACACAGAGTAATTACTACATATTAAGTTCTGCTCTGGGTTTTCTATGTATACCCAACCATATTTTACACACATGGTTGGGTATATATATATATATATATATATATAAACATTTGCAAACATGTTAAGAATTATTATTATCCCTATTTAAACTATTATGATAACTTATTTTTATCCCTAGGTTCCCATAAATGAGACTTTTGCCCTAACGGACGCAAAATCGATCCATGGGACATTCCTTGGGGCCTCCATTGCCCCCTTTCTTGGGGCAGATCCCTGAACTCAGGCCGCTAGACACCCGGGGCTAACACAGGTGGCCGCACGGCCTCCTACCTGCCCGGCCTCGCATCGCCTCTAACTCTGCGGCGCTCCAGGCTCGCCCCGCCCTGTGTGGGGGCGTGGCTCCTCTTCTGCCTGCGCGCTGACGTCACGGGTCCCGCGCCTTTCGCGCCTGCGCCGCGGGCAGTTGGTCGTCCCTGTGACCGGCTTGGCTTTTGGAGCTGTCGTCGCCATGTTTTCGGTCGCCGTTCGCTCGGGCCCGTTTGCGCCCGTCCTGTCGGCCACGTCCCGCGGCGTGGCGGGCGCGCTGCGGCCCCTGGTGCAGGCCGCGGTGCCCGCCACTTCGGAGTCGCCAGTATTGGATGTGAAGCGGTCCTTTCTGTGCCGGGAGTCGCTGAGTGGCCAGGCCGCAGCCCGGCCTTTGGTCGCCTCCGTGGGCCTCAATGGTGAGCCGGGCTGAGGGGAACGACCGGGGGTTGAGGGGTCCCTCTTTTCTTGCTCCCTCCGGCCCTGGACCCCGGGAGCAGCCGAGAAGGGCGGGCGGTCTGCCGAAAGATGGAGCGGAGCCCTGTTTGTGGATGGGGTTGCCTGCCGTGCTGGGTCGACCTTGGGCAGGCCTCTGTATCTCCCCGGGCCTCGGGGTCCCCTGTTCGGGGGCGCTGCTCCGCTGGACGGTCTCAGGTGACCTCCATCTCTGACATTCTGGGCCTTTGTGGTTGTGTATAGGCTTCCCAACCACAGGCTGATTTTTCTGCTTCGTCGGTTAAGTTCAAGAACTATGGAGCCCGACTGCTTCTAGCAAAGTCTGACAAAAGATTTTGCTGCTTACAGGTCGTTTGCCTTTGGGCAGATTCCTAAACGTGTTCCCTCACCAGTGAAATGGATTAATTATTTTACCAATTTCGTAGGTTATATCGTAAGGTTCAGATGGAAAAAGTATACGTTAAGCCATTAACACATTCTGGGGGCACTTTATAAATTCTCAAAAAATAGGAATTGCTTTTAAATTTGAAAAGTTGTCCCGCTCGCTACCTCCCATCCTTTTGTGTGTCCTTCCCTGTCACCACCGCAGATCCGAAGAAAAAGAAACGAGCCGCAAGGTCGTTTATAGTGTAGACTACACTGCAGAGTATCAGCAGTGTTTTCAGGCACTGGGACAAAGGGTTTTCACACCGTAATGAATTTCATCCTCAAGAAGAGCAACCGGCAGAGATTGATGTTACTCCCATTTTACAGATGAGAAAACGGACTACAAGAGGTGAAGTGACTTGCACAAGGATACACGTTGTGTACGCGATAGTGCGTGGATTTTAAAGACTGATTTAGCCGTAAGCTCTCACCAGGAGTGTGTTTTACACCCTCTGTCAGCATAGCCTAGTTTATCTTTGGTGCCTTGTTTTCTGTTTTTCTTTTTATGCTCTGTTTGGAGATCCTGAATTGGCAACTTGTGAGCCAGGTGCCTGAGGTCTGCCCAACTTGTGTAGTTTTAAAAAACAGACTGTTTCTGGCATCTCTGGAAATGTTGAAAGTTGGCAGCACTGGGCTTTAGTTCCATGTCTAGTGTGCTGTGCATTGGCTGCACCCTTGGTCGGAGCAAGTGCTTTTCCAGTTCATCACAGCCCTCATCAGGGCTACTTGATTCATTGTGCTACCTGCCTGGCCTCATTGACAGTTGTATTGGTGACCTTTGCCCTACACCAAGTTGCCCCCACCCTCTTTATTCTGCCTTCATTCACCCTTTTCTCTTTACTTTAAATGGTCCTCCCACTCAGTTTTCCACATTTCCAAGTCTTACCCATCCTTTCTATCTCAACTCAGGATCAGGTCAATAAAATTTTACATTTGCTGATTCCTTTACATTTTATAGCACATAACACTTTCCACTCTGTATTGCATTTATTGGTGATTCCTCTGACCTTTAGCTTCAATGTGTAGAGAATATCTATCTTCCACAATCTCAGGTTTTGCATATAGTTGGTGCAGAGTATTTGTGAATGAATAAAGTGGCAGGTTTTTTTAGCAGGCACCAGTGGGTTTTAGAGAAGTTGCCCAAGCCAGTTCTTTGGACCTTGAGGTGAGAAACACTAAGGGAAGAGAAAATTTCAGTAACAAAGGTGAAAAGTGTCTTGGAATTTGTCAAATAGCTAAAGAGTTTCTTCTAAAAATCAGGGGCTTACCTGACTTCTCCAAGAAGTGGTAAAGTAGAAATATAAGGCAAACCTCTTTTCTGTAATCATGCCTTCAGCTTGAAGCTTAAATTTGTATTAAAATCTCCTGCATAGGTGGTTTGTGGAAAGATGTAGAGGATGTGGGAAGGGGTGGTTGGGTCAGGAGAAGATCCCTGAGTTTGGACACATTAGAGCTCACCTTAAACAAAACAAAACAAATCAAAAAACCCTGTTTTGTTATAATGCCTTAATCAGATACTTACAGAAACAGATAATTATAGAAACATCATCCATTTCTAGATGATGTTTCTATAAGTATCTGATTTTATTTTAGTTTAGAGCTAAATCTAGCTAGGATTTTTGCTAAGTCACACCTAATACAATTTATATAAATTATTTAGAGAATGATTTTTGCAATATGGCAGTTTATGTTCTTGATGGTGGAGCTCAGTATAAAGTGTAACCTACTAGATAGAATGGGAGTAGACAACTGCATTTCTTTTGCCACCAAGTCTCTGGATGATAGTGACAGAGCCATTCTATTTAGTGTCCCTGTGACAAAGCCATTTAGTGTCCCTATACATTTGCTTGTGTGGAAGGGTTGTAAATAGGGCTTTTAACGTAGAAGTATGAACTTTGGTTTCTTCATCTTTTAAGTATGATACACATCTTTCCTGTGTAATCCCAGACAGTGCTAAGGGAAAGTAATTATACTTTAGTAGGGTAGTATGTGATATGTCACTTTGCCATAGTTGTGAATCTCAAGTAGTCACTACTTGTGTCCTGGTCCCCTACAGAAAATGTTGAGTGAGTTAGAAAAGTACAGAGTGCTTTTCATAGGTTTCACCATTGTCTGTGAATACTTATGGCTTCCATAAAATTACTGACCTTGAGAACCATGTGAAATGTATTATTGTAATGTTTGACTGCTCAAGAAAGTATGTTAGGATGAGACAGCCTAGTAGGTCAAGTAGAATTGCAACTTATATGAAAATGCATTTTAAAAGTGCATATTTCTTTTGGAAACATTTTCAAAAAATAAGGAATTTTTAGTGCCCCTTTTCTAAAAAGGAAACCTGTAGCAGATTTCCTTAAATGACTAGAGTTTACAAAGAGATTTACTTCCTGAAACATACTTAAAAGTGATACTGTAAGTTAATTTTTTGTCAGACAGTTAAAAATGGTATGGGACAGAAGGACATACCTGTTTTTTCAAAAAATAAACTGCTTGCATCCAGAATACTGCATAAACAGTAATTATTTGTTTATTTAATATTCATTTGATGTAAACATCTGGCCTTTTTATGGCCTGCAGTGGTAGTGTCCCAGTTGAGAGATCCTCAGCAGTAAAAAAAGAAAGATAATGCCCATACTCTTATAGATGTTTTGCCCTTCACTGAAGAGCCAGATACATGAAAAATTTGCTCTTTTTTTATATTAAATTGAAATAATTGGTTCTTTTGGAGATTTCATTTGATTTTGATAGCTCCGTATCCTGATAAGGATATCCTTTTCTGCCCATTGGTGGCTTTACTTGAATTTATACCCCAAAATCTAGAATAGAAATCTCTTAAGTTTTCTGCAACTAAAGTTATACTGTTTACAGAATGTTTATTATCTTATAATTAGTGTTTTATGAATTTTTAGCAGTTCTTTCAGAGAGCAGGTAGATAGGAAAATAAAGTTAGACATTTGGTTTAATAAGATGATCACACATCAATTTAATGAGTGGACTAGATGAGTTTTAGGGTCTCTTCTAATCCAGAAAATATGGGTGATATTTATGTCTTAGATTGAATTTTTGGGGACTTAAAATATTGCTGTTTACAGTGCTATTTAACTTTTTTAACTTGGTACACTGAATTGTTATGAATTCTGAATCGCAATGTTCAGTCAGGAGGAACACAATTATACCTATTATCTAATGATTTCATACCAATATGATAGGTAGTGGTTGACTTCATTTTGTTTTCAGTATTTTATATGCTGGCATTGCCAACTTGACCATTTCTGAGACCAGTGAGTGCAATATTTCACATTTTTATAATTTGATTTTTGCTTGTGAATCCATAAAGGTCCATTTCCTGATGTATACCCCTTTCAGAGTCCTTATCTAATTGTGTTTCTTAACCTTCTGTTTATCTTGCAGTCCCTGCTTCTGTTCGTTATTCCCATACGGACATCAAAGTGCCTGACTTCTCTGACTATCGTCGTGCTGAAGTGTTAGATAGTACAAAGTCTTCAAAAGAGAGCAGTGAGGCTAGAAGAGGTTTCTCCTATTTGATAACTGCAACAACTACTGTGGGTGTTGCATATGCTGCCAAGAATGTCATCTCTCAGTTTGTTTCCAGCATGAGTGCTTCTGCTGATGTGTTGGCCATGTCGAAAATCGAAATCAAGTTATCCGATATTCCAGAGGGCAAGAACATGGCTTTCAAATGGAGAGGCAAACCCCTGTTTGTGCGCCATAGAACCAAGAAGGAAATTGACCAGGAATCTGCAGTTGAAGTGTCCCAGTTGAGGGACCCACAGCATGATTTAGAACGAGTAAAGAAACCTGAATGGGTTATCTTGATAGGTGTTTGCACTCATCTTGGTTGTGTACCCATTGCAAATGCAGGAGATTTTGGTGGTTATTACTGCCCTTGCCATGGGTCACACTATGATGCATCTGGCAGGATCAGGAAGGGGCCTGCACCTCTCAACCTGGAAGTTCCCTCATATGAGTTCACCAGTGATGATATAGTAGTTGTTGGCTAGAGACCAGGACTCAAGTCATAAGCTTCTTTCAGTCTTCGTGTCACCTCAGAAGAGTTATTTGAAAACAAGCCTTCTGTACTTCGAATTAGTTGGTTTGAAATAGTTAAGAATTGCTAATGATGTGTTTGCAAACATTTGAAGTAAATTAAATTTAATGTTGAATACTTTCAAGCATTCACCTAATAAAGCCACTGTTAAACATTGTTATGCTCAAAGACTTGAAAGGTGCAGTGTCTTTGATAGTTGATTATAATTAAAAATTACAGACCGGTGTACAAGATATTTGTGAAATCTGTAATTGACTTTCTTGTTTATTTACCTTCTTTGTGTCAGGGACAGAGATTCTAGAGAGCTCATGGTTAGGATGAGGTAGAATTAGCTGGTTGTCTCCAAGACCTGGGAGATGTATTTTGGCATTGGCAGAAACAATAGTATCCAAGTTTCCTATATTTTGCACACCTGGCTATGTGTGTGGGATACCTCTCCACTCCCCCCAGTATGAAGGGCCAAGAAATTTTATTCATCATTTATGGGAGTAACTTAGTAATTAGAATTCTTCAGTTTTAAGAGTTAGTGGCATGGGATATTATCTGAGGGAAGCTTTCCAAAAGGGGAGTGCTCCTCTGTTATTTCCTTCATCTGGTGTGGGTATTCATGTCTCCCAAAGCTCCTGCATCCATCCTATCAAGAGGAAGAAAGGGGGTAGTGCATCTGAGGTTTAATACTATCTTTGTGTGAAAATGATCCTGCTGGTTTTGTTTCTTTGATGATTACATTTTGAGGTGTTTCTTCCAGTTGGATTTGCAGTCACCACTTTTCACTGTGAAGTGAGGGTGGGCGTAGGGAGACATACCAGAATTAACACCCTCTTCTTTCTGCCTCGTGCCTCCAATTACACAGGTGAAACAAGACCAAGGTCTGATATTCTCCCTGGAAACTGGAAGTGGGCTTTACCCTTTGCTGAGAATCACAGCCATCTTGATATATTTGTCTTGTCTTTTCCATTTGGAGGTGCGTTAGTAAAGTACTTCCCTGGGTCCACCTTGTGATCACATGTGCATTTGTAAAATAGCAAATGAGATTCGGTGATTAGGTCTTCCAAAGGGAACTGGCCTTCCAGGGTTCTAGTCCTTAAAATCAGTAGCTAAGTGTATCAAAAAAAAATGTCAGAGTTTCCAGGCTTATGAGCAGATACTAATCTTTGGTTCATTTTCACCATTCTAGAAAGAAAATTAGCAGGTATGGTAAATGGGGCACTTAATATTTTGTTCTAGGTCTCCATATAATGACATTTAGGTTCAAGTATTTAGGTATAAATATGAGACAAAAAAATGCCAAACATTGGTAACTTACTACCTTTTGACATGTTCTCTTCTAAATGGAGGGCTTTCTGATCTTTTGTGCATATGTAGATTACCATGGAAATGTTTGTATTGTTTAAAAGTAGGGAAATTGTATCATGTCTGAGCAATATATTTTGTAGTATTTGGTGTTAATATTTGGATCATCTCACGTGAAGTTTTTTTTCCCCTGATTTTATCATGAGACCAAGAGAAGTTGGTATATATTTGTTGGATATTTTGCTTGTTTATCGTTGTGGTGAAGATTGTTTTTCTAATATTCATGGGGAGAAACATCCTACACTTTTTTCTCATGCCACTTTTTAATGGTGCCAATTGCCCACAACGTGTTGTTTAATACTACACCAATACATCTAGTAAAAGCTGCCGAATTTTGAGGCTGTTTTCTTTTTTTTTTTTTTTTTTTGTGGTACGCAGGCCTCTCACTGTTGTGGCCTCTCCTGTTGTGGAGCACAGGCTCCGGACGCACAGGCCCAGCGACCGTGGCTCACGGGCCTAGCCGCTCCACGGCATGTGGGATCTTCCCGGACCAGGGCACGAACCCATGTCCCCTGCATCGGCAGGCGGACTCTGCACCACCAGGGAAGCCCTGTTTTCTTTTTTAAAATGGCACCAGGAGCTGTTATCTTCTTCAGGATATACTAATACAGGAACTTTGCTGGCATATATTTTACATTCATAAAATTATTACTTGGAGGAACTTAGTGGGATGATAAAGTTTCAACTTTTAATTTGAAGGTGAATTAAACCTGGAGTAGACACCTTGAGGCATTGCATCAGTCCTTAGAACCAGCAAATCTGTGTGACTGTTCCTTTGTCATCCTATGTCAACAAGTAATATTTTTTGTACATAATTGAAGCTGCTGAGCTTCCAGTATGTCCAGGAGTTAGTTGCTGGTTGTTAGTTTCGTGAGTTGGGGGGCATTGTGTAGTGGAAGAAGTACTAGGCAATAATGTAGGATTTTGTGGCTTTGCCATTTCCTGAACATGGAAACATGGGCCTGTCACTTAATCTCCTTAGGACAGTTGTTCTCTTAGAGTCCTTCCAACTAAGATTTTATGAGCCCCTTAATCCTACTCCCGTAATAATGGGAATTGGTTTTCTTAGATAAGCATTTGTTGTGTTTGCAGTATTTGGTTTTATGATAAAGAGATCCAAACTCAGAGGTAGCATTATTGTAATCAACAGAGCCATCGTTTCATAACAGTAGTGTTCAACCAGGGGCAGCACTGCTGCTCTGTGGGGCATTTGTGGCCATCATTTGATTGTCACAATGATTAGAGGGTGATTTTGGTATTGGGGGTGTTTGTGGGGTGGGGTGACAGGAATGCAATATGTTCAGTTGAGGGAGCACAGGTCCACACACTGAAAAAATTGTGCTGCCAAAAATGTCAACAGCACCACTTTTCTGTAGAGAAATGACATATTTCCTCCCACCCTGAAATGATACCTCAGTAGTTAATATTTTCATATTTGAAATGCCAAAAGACTACTGCATTAGAGGCTACATGGCAGTGGAGGACAAAAATAGGAAGTTTGCTGATCCCAAGGTGCATCATAGGTGTTCTGTGCTGGAATTGCTGTATTTGGTGGACTGCTTATGTCTTTCATGATATTTTGACTGATGATAAACTGTTAAATCCCAGTATCCCATTTAGTTTTTAAAAGAAGGCTTTGTAACCACAAGTGCCTGGACAGGTAAAATTACTTGATACTACTTTGCTAAATGGGTCGATAGAGCAGCCCTATGATAGCTTTTTGATTATTTTGATGAAACAAAATCCTAGATATTAGGGAGAAATGACTTAAGAAGAATGAAGGAAACCTGACCAGTTGGCACCCTGACATGAGATCATTAACATAACAGTTCTTTATACTGGGAATTGGGACAATCTTGAGATCCATGCCTTATGCTCTTAAAAGAGTGATCATAGGAAAGAGTATTTTTTTTAAAATGTTTGTTAGAGATAACACCAAATTTACCATGGTCTTTCTGAGCATACCTTTGGAAAATCTATCTTTGACTCAGTCTGAGTCCTTATTTGATATCTGTGGCTTGGGATAAAAATGTGCAGTTGGTACTCTAATTTTTCTAAACAATGGGAACATACTGTTATCTGAATGTCAGAAATCATTCTTCATTCTCACAGTGCTGAAACTGTCATTTTCTGTATTTTCATGTCATTGGAATATCATTGCATTTTGTATATTAACCCAAAATAAATGTCCATGTTTTTCAGGATGATATCCTCGGCCCACTGTTCTAACACACTCTCATCAGTATTTGCTAATGACTCCCCTAGCTCACTTCTCTGAACTTCATGCTCATGTTCAACTGCTTAGTTGGCACCTGTGCATGGATGTTGCATTAACACCTAAAACTCAAAACATCCAAAAGGAAAGGAAATCTGTCTTTCTCCAAAGCCATCTTCATAGCAGTTGGCAAGCTTAAAACCTCTAGCCTCTCTTGCCTCCTTTTCCATTACAATTAACACCCAAACCCTACTAATTGTGTCTCTTAATAAAACAGATCCATTACTGTCTCTGCAATCTGTAGCATTCTAAAAATAACGGCAAACTTTTAGAGCACTGACTAGGTTGAGTCACTAGGTTGAGTGTATGTATATGATCTCATTTAAAACTCAAAAAATTCTATCAGGTGGGTAATGTTGCTATTCCTAGATTGTAGAGAAACAGGCACATAGAAGTCCCTTGTCTACAATCAGAGCTGGTAGGTTTTATTTTAACCCAGGGAGTCTTGAGTCCAGAGCCTGTATTTCTGATGACCTTCATGTGTGTGTGTGTGTGTGTATATATATATATATATATTTAATTGAAAAAGTCCTAAATTTAAGTACTGTACCAGTTCCTTGTCAATTCTTGCCTGGTCTACTGCAGAAAGATTCCAAACAGGTCTTTCCTATTTCCTCCAATCCTGTCTCCTAAAAAACCATCCTGCATATAGTTATGGGAAGAGTATGGGCATGGTTCCTGGGTTCAAATCTTGGCTCTGCTGTTTCCTAGGTGTGTGATCTGACATAAATCACTTAATCTTTTTGTGCTTCCCTTCCTCATCTGAAAAATAGTACCCCCTCAGTGTTTCTTTATGGATGAATGCATTAATGTAGGTCAAGAGATGACTTCAAAATTCCTTAACGTGGAACCTCTATTAAGGTCCTACTTGCATGCATCCCATCACTAAACCCTTTGCTCCTGTAACACAACTTGCTTGTTGTCACCTATATTCTTTTAATTTCTTCCCACATATTTTCAACACTTTTAAATGCAGGTGACATCATTTCATTACTTTATACCATTTCATCTCTCTTTTATTCACTTTCCATCCTGGGATTTAGGAAGGGAACATTTTGCTTAGAGAGGAAGAATACTATCAAATGGTGAATTGATGAATTCTTCTTTGAGGTAGGAAGGATTGCAGATTATTTTCTCTTTTTTAATAGCACTACTTATTGGGGTTAAAAATGTCCTAAACATGATCTTGCCAGGAGTGCGAGGTTAAGATGGTTTCTACTTTAGCTACTTAAAGAAGACCTAAATACAACACAAAAGAAAGACTATTCAAGTGTTTGCTTATGTGAATGCTTGTAAAAAGATTATTATAGATTGGAAATCTCGAA